AGCCCTCCACTGAGTGCAGAGACATGGGGGAATGCTTTCCCAGGGAGGAGATTATTCTGTTCCTGCCCACAGCATGGTTCCCTGCAAAGGAAGGATAGTAAGGTGCTGGAGCAGGTCCAGAGAAGAGCAACGAGGCTGGGGAAGGGACTGGAGCACAAGTGGCATGAGGAGAGGCTGAGGGAGCTGGGGGTGTTCAGCCTGGAGAAGAGGAGGCTCAGGGGAGACCTTCTCACCCTCTGCAACTCCCTGCCAGGAGGTTGGAGTCAGGTGGGGGTTGGTCTCTTCTCCCAGGCAACCAGCAGCCGGACAAGAGGGCACAGACTCAAGCTCTGCCAGGGGAGGGTTAGGTTGGATCTTAGGAAGAGATTTTTTGCAGAGAGAGTGCTCAGGCATTGGAATGTGCTGCCCAGGGAGGTGGTGGATTCCCCATCCCTGGAGGTTTTCAAGCTGAGACTGGATGTGGCACTTAGTGCCATGGGCTAGTGACCTCGGTTGGGTTGGACTCAGTGACCCTGGAGGTCTCTTCCAACCTGGTTGATTCTATGATTGCATTTTGTACCAGGCATTCTGGAAATGGGGCTCTGCAGCAGCAGTGGGAGCAGCAGGACTGGCAGTAGGAGTCCAACCAAGAGCAAAACTGACCACAAAGCCCCAGGGGTTGCTCAGGAGCAGTGAGGCTGCACCGTTACCTCATGCTGTAGAGGACGTGACCATCAGGGAACACTCTCAGCATGATGTTGTCCGTGGTGGTGTCATGGATGAAGGACCTCTTGGAATGCACAAAGAAGACATCAGGGACCCAGATCTTCTTCACCAACCTGCCATCAAAGGTCATGCTCTTGTTGTTGGTGCTGGGGAACGAGAGCCGCTCGTCCTTCCAGTAGTGCCTCAAGTATAGGGTCATAGTGAAATCCTTCACAAGCAAAGGGACAGAACCAAGAAAGGAAGAGAAGGAGAGTTCTGTCAGTGCTGCATTCTACAACTAGGACACACCAGAAAGAAAACTGACTTGTACCAGGTAGATGAAATCTCTCAACTCCTCTCTCCTTCCTAGGCTCTCTGTGAATGGATTTTCCTGACAAAGTAATATCAGCCAAAACAAAGCACAACCAACCACTGCATGTATTACAGGACCCAGTGATGTTCAGTCCCAAGAGGGACATAAATATGCCCCAAGAGGAGCACTGCCCTGCAGAAATGATTCTTCAATCTTGGCAAAATTATCTTGCAGGACTGTGCTGTCACTGACACGGTTAAGAGGCAAAACTTTGCAAGTTATCTTAATGGTCAAGCTAAACACTGAGCAATTTATCCCCCAAAGAAGTAAATTGCTGCAAACAGCAACCAACCTGTTGGTTGGGAACTGTGTTTCCTACCACACAAATGTACAAAGGAAGGTCCTTTGAAGCTTGTTGTGGGGGCAGGAGCTGCAGCCACATAAAGAGAAACATCTGTTTGTTGATCCCAACCTGGCAGCTGCTGCTTTCAGAGCTCAATCTCCTCTCTCCTGCTGAGAGATCAAATACTCTTCTT